ATCCTCCCCGTTCTCCTCACTGGTGAGAACTTGCTAATGACTTCTAACTTGTAGATGTCAATTGCCACGAAGTATGTTTTCTCTGCAAGCGAACATTCGATCGAGTAAGCCTATTTGTGGACCACAAATGCAGAAGGTTAAAAGGAAGCTACAGGACTCGCATTCTGGCAAGGCGAAGAGCGCTCAGGATATTAGCGGGCCAGGATAAGAGAAATATTGCAGAGCAGGAACGCGCGACTGCAGATCTGCAGACCGTTTTCTCACCACCTCGGAAACAAAGCAAGACACAAGCACACAACAGCGTCATCCTGTCACCCTATGGAGATCTTGTCACCGAGTCCGACGGTACGAACGAGCCCATGGTTCAGGCAGGAATCACCATCCAACAAGTGCAGGAGAATCCTCAGCCGTTGACGAATCCTGGAGAGCTCATTGATGCCGGCACCTTCCGCTTTCCCTTCAGCGGGATTCCGACAGACGCAATGGCCATGCCTCGAGATTTCATCAGTCCCCCCCGTCGAGCGGGACTAGCCCGGCCGTAGTCTCGGCCGGAAGCCAGCACTCGCCGCGAGCCATCCAGTCCCGGCCGGCCAGCAGGGCCGAGGCTTCTACCACAACTCCCGCCGCAGCCGGGCCGCCTGTTAGCGGCAGAGATAGCGCATCGGCAGGTACGGCCGTAGAGCGAGGTGAAGGTCTATGGCGGCGATAGCTAACAGGACGCAGGCAGAACGGTGATAAGACGGCAGGCGAGAGAAGAGCAGAAGAGGAAACGCCATCTTGGTAGTGGGCAGGCCGGGCGGAAACGCGCCAGGGTGGGTGAAAAGATGCCAAGACGGAGGGAGCTGCAGGCCGAGGACCTAGCCAGCGCGCCACGGCACCTCGACGAGGAGTGGAACGGACCAATGGCATCACAGGAACACCAGTCCAGTCAGATAATCTCAGACCACCCAAACCGACCGACTGCTCCGGCCGGTCGGTCTGTCTGTTAGCCACACCGTCAGAATGGCTTGGTCAGAACACGATACTCAACATAGTCCTCGCCGTCAATATGAACGATAGTGCCCGCCGACACGAACTTTCCCGTAAATGGCCCGGTCGACTTCCGCCCATACTTGACGCCGTCGTGCATCTTGGCGTCCTCGGCATAGGTTTTCATGCGAAACGACTCCTTGCGAGCCCAGACCTTGTTGACGTGCTGCGTATCCTCTGACTCGTGAAGAAGCGTCCGTCCGATGATGGCTGAAGCGGGAGCCGCTATCGCAACAGCATTGTTAGCCGCGGCGAAGAAAGCACGTTCTCGGGTTAGAGCAAGGCGGTCGATGCGATCCTGGGCCGCCTCAGCTCTGGCTAGCTCGCGACGCGCTAAGGCGCTGGTGCGTTCTATGACGTGGAGCCTCTGACGAAGCTGAGCCGAGCTCAGCTCGTTCTCGTTGAGCAATTGGCGCGGCGCCCGTCTGTCCGCTCGCGGATTGATTCGCCGCGACTGGCCAGGCTCACCGCCGCCATAGCTTGTTCTCGGGCTGGTCCGATCCATGTCCACGTTGGCAGGACGGGTGATGCTGAAAGTCGGCATAGCGACACTGGTCTGTTTAATGGGGGTTCTGGCTCGGGTCTTGGCCTCATACACGGCCCTTGTTTCGTTTTCGATCCGCTTCCTATCGATTTCGCCGTGATCCAGCTGGTACTGCCGAATGCGGCAGTACTCCTTGACTTCCTGTTTGTTGAGAGCCTTGAGGTGGTTCTCAAAGCCTAGCTCCTCGTACGGAATCCACAGAGCCCCAGCTCCCGAGGGGAAGTTTCCATCCACGAAGCGGCCGTCTCTCGTCTCTCGTACCACCTTGACTCGGAACTTGTTGTCGTGGCCAAGTATTCCATAGACGGCATGTCGATCCCTTGGATCAGGCTCGCTGGATTGCTTCCAGTATCCTAGAAGGATTCGTGTCGGGCGGGTGCCAGGCAGAGGGTCGGTGGGAAAGCGGGTTTGATGAACGGCCATCGGCTGAGTAGACGCTGGCTGAGAAATCTCCATCTTGCTCTCGCTCAGGTCGTTATACAAGCAGGCGCGCTTGCGCTTGGGGTAGTGAGAGACAGCCTGCCGTGATGACTCGTCGCCGACCATAGCTGCTGCGGTGGCGTCCGCTCCTGCTCCTGCGGCCAAGGACGACTCTCGAAAGCCTGCGGCTGGCGATGGCGCCGTCGCGGCTGCTGGCTCGTGGCCGCCGGCAGCGGAGGCAGCTGATGAAGACTTGGGCACTGTCGGCGCGACCTGCGGCTTGCTGTACTTCTCAGTGGCAGACCTCTCCATTGCGCACGGCCGGACAAAAGGCGAAGGGGTTCGACGGCGAAGTGTCCTCTCTACTTTTGGTTCGTTAATGAACAGCCAAATTGGTGCTTTCTTGCTTTCCCAGCCGACAGGGGCATAAGGAGATCAGAGGCGAGTCGCTCCGCGCCGCGGACCCATGTCCCCCCTTCCTGCAAGGGTGAAATGAGCTTGGACACCTGTTCTTGGTGTGTGGGCAGAACCCGCTCACCGCCCGGCATCTGACGTTGGTTGGCCGACCTCGCAAAATTTTGCATGCGGGCGCTCTTCCTCTACGCATTGTGTGACAGCTTCTCGTGATATCTCTGCCGCTACCGCCGCCTACGCCGCTATGGAGCCAGTGTAGGTACTGCTGAGAATTTAACACTGAAAAGGACCCTGAAGACACCTGCCACGCTACTGGCAAGGTGGTTTGCGAGCCGGATACCATTTTACGACTGGTGCGGCAAACTGGCAAATTGGCAATTAGACTGGCAGAAGGATGACCGTGCGGGCCCGCTGCTAGTCCGCAGTACATACTCTCATGCTGACCTGAAGTATCCGGATGACCAGGGGGCTGGGCGCCTAAACCCAAAAGAAAATGACAGGGAGTTTTGCAACAGTGACCCCTATCGCCCACCGTAAACGTGACCTTTTCCAAAAGCGGTTAGTCTCCTCTTGCAAATGGCCTGAGCGCTGCTGAGGTAAGTTTTTACCGGACAGTTCCGACACCATGCGGGATGGATGCAGAGACTCGTTGCATCCACTGCAGACAAGAGGGTGTGGGGGATCCACACAGACTTGTTACGACATGATGGAGTCATACGAAGGAATATAAAGGGTCGAGGCACCCGCTTCCTCCAAATCCAGAAGAACTGGCGGCCTGTGCCTGAAGGCTAGAAATCTGAAAGAGTTCAGTGAGTCGAGAGACACGCAGTGCAACACGGAGAGTGGAACACGTTTGTAGGGTAAGAGCCTCGTTCTGTGCAAGAGGCCAGCGCACACGCGTTTGGATCTTCCCTCCCCGCATATCGCCGTCGGCAACGCGCCTTCTGGAGGTGGGAAGACAATGTCTTTTCCGTCGTTTCGCGATCGACTATCGGAGAGCTTCTCGGAAGGCCACTTGGACCGCATGGCACAGCAGCACGATGTTCTCGAGGTGGCGGGTGCCCTGAAAGAGGCGGCAGATGCCCTAGGGGCGGCGACAATCCGTCTTGACCGGTGCCGAAGCCTACTGCTAGCAGATGGGGGGTTGCATCTGACTCACACTGTCAACGCCTTGTCAGAGCGCATGGACGCCTTTGAACAGACTGTGAAGCGACGCCTGGATGAGCTTGACAAGACGGATGGGTCATCAGCAACGGATGGTTGCGGCGTGAGTAGGGCTTGCCGAAGAGGAGACAGTTACTCCACTGACGTGAGCCGGAAGGTAGTGAGCTGAATGGAATGGCTCGGTTGCAAAACCTCTTTGCTCATGGGACAGAGCAGGTCTTACTTCCACTCCTCAGTCTGGAGACGGGTCAGGTGATAGTGGGTTGCCCCCCAACCGTGGATGCTGTCGAGGCTTTGTCCGGTGAGTTTCTGTGCGTGACGATTAGGCATGCGCTGTTGACTGACTCGACAGTCACGTAGAGTCGGAAGTGGATCGACTCCTACGGGAGCTTAGAGCATCTTCAGAAGGCACGTTAGCAGAAAGGCGGTATAGGTTGCATCTGGCCTTCGGTATCAAGGAGCGACCGACTTGACAGTGTACACAGCAATTGGCCGGCATCCTCTGGACCACTGTTATTTCGTAGGAGGCTTGTAGTTGTATGTATGTATGTGTATTTCACCCGGAGGATTTCTCCTATAGGGCCTAGACGTAAAAGCTACTGACATTTCAATACATTAATGCGTAACACCTTAAGCCCAACGGGAGGCTTGTAGTTAGTTCAGCCCGAAGGGCGTTTGCCTTGAGGAACGAAAGGCCTTCTAACGTGCCCCGCAGACCCCGCCCTCTCCCCCCAAAAGTTCTCCGCCCCTTGATTGGTCCCTTGTGATTGGTCCCTCCTTGCCTCCCTCCTCGTTGGTCGCTGCCCTTCCCCCCGGCTTCTGTTGCCTTTTCGCGTGCCTTATCCCACCACTAGGCGCCTCCCACCCTGTCTGCCGCCTGCCGACTCTTCCCGCCTGCCGAACTCTTCATCGCGTCACCTAGCGCGGCCGCCTTGACTCTTCAGCATCACCGTCCAGCCAGCGCAACGCCTCCTCAACGGTCCTCTCGCTCAGTACCTCGAGCCTGGCCTGTGCGGCAGTCATCTCCTCGGGGACCCGGTTGCCCACCAAGTCTCTGTCCCGCACCTTGGACACGAGCATGATGCCGTCTAGAGTTCGGCAGCGCGATAGCTGCACGTACAGGCCGTACGGGTCGCACTGCGAGGGCACCACCGTTCCATCCATCTTCGTCGTCCGTGTCCTCGCAGCTCGAGGGCCACGCGCTCCAGCGTTTTGCCCTGCACCTTGTAGTCCGTGCACGCGAACGCTGCTGCGCACGGCAAACCCTTTCGGCTGACGTCGTTGCGTTGCCACGGCCTTTTTCGCTGGCACTGTATCTTAACGGTCATGGGTGTCAACAAGATCGTGCCCGGCGGCATCCCGACGAAGTGGAGATATCTCGTCGTCTCCGATTCGAGAATGATCCCCGCCGGCGGCCCGAAGTGGATCGTCATATCGGCCGAGATCCGATGCCCGGGTACGCCTTGTCGACAATGACCTCCACCGCCGAGTAGCTCGCGCCGTTCACTAGCTTCAGCCCCTGGTGGGTGTTGTGGTTCACGACGATGGGCATCCCGGCCACGAACATGAAGACGGCCGGCACCGGGATCGCGCTATCGTCGCCCTGGTTGAGTATCATGATCGCCTCTTCCTCCGTCGGCAGCTCCTCCTTCCACTTGTGCTCGGAGATGAAAATGCGCATCGTCGACCGCTGCTGGACCCGGAACGCCAGGCTCGCCTCCATGTTCAGGTTCCACCGATTCCTATTGAGCGGCGTCACCACGGTGATGCCCGTCTCCCAAGGATCCGCCTTCCTCCCGGTAGCACCTTGAGTTGAGGAGGTTTAGATCCGTCCGATCCTGCACGCCTAGACGGATCCGCTTCAGCAGCCTCTGCAGCTCCGGGTCGCCGGCGGCGCGCATCTGCTCGTCCAGCATGACGACCGTCGTGAACCTCTTCCACAGTGCGTGCGCTTTGTCGTGCTGGTGACGCTGCTCGGCCTTGAACGAGTTGTCTACGTCCCACGAGATGGCCGCGCTAGGCAGGACGATCGACCTCTCTTGGACCGGCCGGAACTGCTGAAAATCTCCGCAGAAGAGGACGATGGGGATCCCCCCGAAATCTTGCCGCGATCCGCGAAGCCGGCGAAGCCGCTCGTTCACGGCGTGCAGCGTCCGCGCCCCGAGCATGCTCACCTCGTCGATGACGAGCACATCCTTCTCCTGCCAATCCATTCGAGACTGGCCGTGGATGAACCGCTCCGCCTGTTTCGGCAGCCGCACCCGTCAAGGTCTTTGACCATGTTCGCGCCCCCCGCCCCTTGGTCTTTAGTGAACCCGCAGGCGGAGTGGATCGTGATGCCGTTGATCCGCGCCGCCGCAGTCCCCGACGTCGCCGTGATCAGCAGACGATTCGAAAGGCTCTTTTTACTGAACAGCTCGACGAGTGCCTCGATGATTCGCGACTTGCCGGTACCGCCCTCGCCACCGACGAACTGGCGCAGCTGGCAGGCATCGCCCCCGTCGGTCTGCTGCATCAAATCGAGCTGGCGGCATATTATCAGAAAAGCGATGGACTGCCTCTTGTTCAGCGTCAGCCGTGTTGCCAACACCTTGCCCGCCGCGAGGAAGGAGGTTGATGGGCCAAACTGAACGTCCATTCCCGCCCCTGCGTCGATAGCGGTCTCGTCGGAGTCGGCCATCGTCATTTCGACCTCGTCCTCCCGAAACCGGTCATCACCCTTCGCAACGCTGCGCGGCGATCGCTTTCCCAGGCGGCGGGCGTGCTTTGTATCCCTGGATCATCCTCTCCTCTCCTTCGAGGCACTTACCTGCTGCGACTTGATAGCCTTGACCTGATCCTGCGGCGGTAGTGCGGCCCCGGAAAATACCCGCCCTGGCATGCTTAACCGCCTCTCCCTCGTTCGATCAGCGCCGTGGCCTCGAGCTCGGCCGTCGAGCGCAGCGCCGATTGCTGAAACCGACAGAGCTGCTGTATCATTGCCATGAGCTCCGGCGACTTGGCCGTCACCTGATTCGCTCCCACTGCACCTCGGACGACGTCGATGAGCCGCGTTGCGTCTCCGATGCTGTTGGGCTGATATGTCGCTGCAGACTCCGCGCCCGCCTCGCCTGCTCCACCCTCCTCGACGTGTGCGACCGTCGGGTCGCCATCGCCGGACGAGGCTGCCCATTGCTTGGCGTCGCGTTCTTGCGTCTTCGGCGGATCGTCGAAGCAGCTGCACGTTGTCGACCAGACATGATATTCTCGGGGCCATAGCGTCTCGAGCCCGCGCCCAGATGCTGTTGATCTCACCTGTTCCTTCGCCCAGGAAGGACTCCCACGGCACGAACAGCGCAAGATGCTGCACGGCTGCCCTTCAGGGGGTGGGTTAGCCTCTCCGATAATGCCCGCTGACAGAGCAGTTGCCATACACACCTCCGGTAGCACGACTCGTCATCGTAGGTGAAGTCCTTGCTCAGGTAGCCGTCGAGGCAGACGGTAGCGTGCTTGCCCGGCCGCCTGAGCACCTGAACCCAGCGTCGTCCGGCCCATCCATCCTCGAAAGACATCTCCCCAAGCCGCCCAGCTCTCGTCGTTGCCGATGCGTTTCAGTCTGACGATCGATATGTAGTCATACAGGCATAGGCCTTTCAGCAGCTCTCCCGGTGCTGGTACGCCTCGACGTGGGAGATTCTCAGGCCTTCTTCTTCGACGACGACCGACTCATCCAAGGTGTCATCCGTAGCCGCAGCGCCACTGGCTTCTCGGAGATGCCGCCATCGCCGAAAGACTTCCCAGTACAGCAGAGAACAGTTCAGGTACGCCCACGCGCTGCTGTCGGTGAACTCGGCCGGATATCCGAGAAGGTGAGCGACGACCTCGACCTGTGATAGCGGACGCTCCGTGAACACGCGGTTCGCCACTCTCATCAGGAACTGTCGCGTCCTGTTCCCTTGACAGGGTCATCGGTGGCAGCGTCTCCGCCACCGTCCCGCCCTCCGTTTGCCGTGCCATCACCTGTTGAGGCGGCCAGGAGCTCGGCCGCGGCCGCCACACGCTTCCACACCGGGTCCTCCACCTTGGTCGCGTAGTTCGTGACATAATAGATGAGGGCCATTGTCTTGCGCTGCGTCGCAATGAAGGAAATATCATGGTTGTGCCGGAGCCCGACAGCAATAGCCTCGTTCCATCGATTGACCATGCTGTGTGTCCTCCGGATCTGCAGCACCCCGTCTGCCGTGAGGGCGGTCTTGTCGACTAACCTCCATGGCGCCTTGAACCGGCAGAGGTCCCCTTTCCGCCCTCCTTTGCCCAAGGAGTACTTCACACAGGTCGGGCTATGCGTGTGCACCTGCGTCGCGCCGGCACAGAAGTTGGCCTCCTCGATAAACGCGGCCGAGAACTGCGCGGCGTTGTCCAGCAGGGAACCAATACCGCCCGTCACAGATCGCTCCGCTTGCAAGGCGCAAAAACTTTCCTGGTCCAGATCCTGCCTTGCACGTCAACCCGGCCCCACTTGGCCATCAGAAGAGTACTTCAGGCTCCCGGTGGCACATCTTAGGTAGGCATTCTTACCTCTGAGAAGACGCTATCGATGTATCGGACGATTCGCTCGCGATACGCCGCCTGATCCTCCCCGTGGATGTCGGCAAGCATCGAGCTGAGATGCGCGTTCCCGTGCAGCCAGAGCAAGCCGTGAACATGAAGCGCCCTCGTTCGTTCGTCTCCACGGCGCCATAGTACTTGCCGATGCGCCCGAATACCGACTCTTCACCGACCTTCACGTAATGATCGAAGAACAGCTTCATCTCGCGGTGGAAGAACACGGCCGAGCTCATGGGATCCGATATCGCCAGCCGTGCCCGCTTATACGCATCCCCAAGGCCTTCTAAGAACTCCTCGGCCGCGTCGGGATCGCGTGTGCGGTATGCCGCCAGTCGCAGCTTCACCGGGTTCGTAATGTCGTTCGGGTTGATGGTGAACCAGATGGCCGGCACGCCATATCCGACGATGAGCGACTGGATTTTCCGCCGCATATTGAGACGGACCCCTCTCGACATGGGCTGCCGGTGGCCGTAAAGCGAGAGGCTCCTGAGAAGCTCCTTCACGTCACCATCGGTCGTCTTACCCGAGCTCTCCAACTCGACCCTCGCCGCCGCTAGCCTTTCTGTGGTCATCGAACGCACGATGCGCTCTACCTTGCGGAAGTTCTTCCTCCCACACTCAACATGCTGACCCGGCGGTTCCTCGACCGCACCCCATGTTGAAGACGAGAAATGCGAAGATGTGGTGCAGTGCAAATCGACCACCATGGCGCCGGAGCACGATCTCGGCCCACGCCTGAAGGTTCAAGCTTCGAGACGACGGGGTCTCCCGCGGCCGCCTCTGCCTCGACAGCCCTGCCTCGCAAGTTGGCCGTGACCTTCCCGCGTCGACCATGGTCTCTTCAACCAGCCTTGGTCCCCAACGCCAAATGGGAACAGGGTCGGGAACGTCCTGGCAAAGAAGGACGCCTCAAAGGAATCGGTAAACTCACCCCGCGAAACCCGGATGTATGGCTCACAACCACCGTCGCCACGCCCCGAACCCCGGCTAGGGACCCGACCCACGCTCGGGCCCGCACGGCCGTCGTCGGCACCTTCACCAACAGCGTCACAGGCAAACTGCAGCTTCTCCACGTCCGCGACGTCTGGCGGTCCGTCGAGCGCGAACATGCCAGAAGACGTCACCTCGTTGATCGCTGGAACGTTCTGGTCGGGGCAGGCGTCACTTCCATCGCGAACCGCGCCTTCTCCGTTGGGCCCGTGACCTTCACCCTGGCCGCCGGCTTCTTGTCCTTGGTTGAGCAGGGCGAAGAGCTCCTCGATCTCCACCGGCCCCTCCTCGTCCACGGCGCGTTCCGTGGGCGGCACAACGTGCGCCGTCCGCGCTTTCTCCCACCCAGACGGCTCGTTCCGCTCCATACGATCGCACACCGACGACGGTACCCCGTGTATCGAGTCTCCCCAGCTCTCCATCTCCGCCGCGTCGATCTCGATCTCGGCGTAGTGGGGGTTGTTCCGCTTCAGCCAGACAAGGGCCCTCTCGACCACCCGCCGCCTCACCGACAAGAGACTCGACAGGTCGCTCGGTGCCGGCTTCTCCGCGCCCTGCCACGAGATGTGGATCTCGTCCAGTGCTTGCAAAAGGGGGGTAACATGAGTTCAGCGAGATGAGCTTCTCTTCGACCGGCGTCAGTCCCTTGAGCTCATCGGGAACATGTGCTCGCAGCCAAGGCGACTGTGAAGGTGGATCGCCGGCGACAGGCTCCTGCGCGCCAGGCATCGGCCACACTCGGCGCACACCGACACGGACTCGCCCTCAGGAAAGCAACTCCGGCATGAAAATGGTGAGCGGCCGCCCTTTGGTACGCAACTTGACAGCCAATGATCCCATGTAATCTCCTCAACTCTCCTCTCGTACACTTGCGGTAGCACACCATGCAGGTCCGTATCGGCAACGTGCTCGCATCGTGGAACGCCTGATAGAAGTCTCGCACCGTCGACACCTTCCTCTCGAGCGGTATTGGCGTGCACCACGTCTGATCGTTAGACAATCTCTCCTTCAAGGCAAAGTCTTCCTCCAAAAAGCGCAGCACACTCGCCAGGTCTTCGGCCTGCAGCTCCCGTCTCCTATGCCTTCCGATTCCACTTCGGACCTGTTTTATCGGGCGCCCATCCCGGCTAGGAAGACGGGCTCTTCTCCCGCCTCCGGGACTGCCTCTGTCCGCGCAGCGAGCCGTCCGCTGCCTCTGCTGCGCCATCGTCCACACCCACCTGTGCCCTTGGCCGCCGAACCGGTCCCCGACGGAGCTTGGGCAAACCCCATGCAATCGATGCTGCAAATTGCGCCGTTCGTCTTAGGTCTTGGAAAGTCGTATCCTTGGGCTGGATAGGTCGGAGCGTCGGTCCCTTTTCGAACGAACACCCGGGACACCGCCGGTCGCCGCCTTATCTCCCTGCCCGTCACCTTCAGGACCCCTCTCCTGGGGCAAAACGGCCGATGAAGGGGCGGACTGTTAGAGCCCACTGCCCCCTGGTCTCCACGTTCTGTAGGCAACACGAACCTCGGAAGCGGACTCGGTGACTGACGTTGCGCGGAATTTCCGCTGCTGACCAAATTACGGGACTTCCGTGCTCTGCTTGACCGCAAACCGCCTCGCGGCGGTCTTCTCGGCAGTGACTTTGCGATCGCCTCTGCATGCTTTCTCCATGCGGTTTCTTCGACCGCAGACTGCTTAGGCTGAATCAGCCGGAACGTTAATGCTTCGTTCGCCACTGATCTGTATCTCCCGAACCGCCCCAACCTTGTCTCCCGTGCTCCGTGCCCCTCTCGGAGTTGCCCTGTATCATCTCCGCACCCCGAAACAGGCACTCCCCCGTTCCTACCCTCTTCTCCATCCTCGACTGACAACGAACAGGCTCCACGGTGAGCGGCCGCCTCGCCTAGCTTCCCTGCAGGACTATCCGCCATGCTACTGCCTCCTCGACGTCGACTAGCGTGGATTGGCAACAGGCTAGAAAGGTTTGGCTCCGGAGCACTTCCACTTGGATAATCTCGCTTCTTGGCGTACACTATTTCTTTCCGAGTGGGAAGCTTCCTAACGATCACTACTCTCATGGCCGTGGCATTTCTTCCCTTATAATGCTTGCCTATGGTACCGAAGCGATGCAATACTACTACCCTTTGTAATCCCCATTTACCCTCCCTATGTGCGTCCACCGTCCCGACCCTCGGCTGGTCTCCACGTGCGACCTGCTACCCCAGCTTTGCCAAAGGCGGCCCTTCCATCGCCGTGCTCTCTTTGCGCACTCCAGCGAATCCTGGCTACTGCCGACCTCCGGCACATGGGGTGGCCGCGCCAACCGCCCGCCGCACACTTCCAACCATACTCTCCGGCCCTTCCAACGCCTTCCCACCCACCTTGCGCATCAGTTGCTCCATCAATATCTGCCACTCCACCTCGTCGAGCAACAGCCAAAAGGCTGCCGGCGATAACATGTCCACGGTGTCCTCGTGCAACCGGACTACCGGCTAGGTTTGCTCCCTCGCCACCACCAACGTCGCATCAACGGCCTTCATGCTAAAGCGACAGCCAGGATCCCCCTGCCTGTCCTCTTGTAGTCGCTAGCCACCGGAGTCTCGACTTGCAAACCCTCTTGGAGAGTTCTCGTGACCAACTCGCATCCTCCTCCTCAGGTCGTCCCCTATATCCGACTTCACCGTGTCCCAATAGTGGACTCGACACGGTCGGCACCCGCCTCGCTCAGCCGCACGCAATGCCCATCCAACTACCGACGACCGTCAAAAAGGGACCCCTGCAATACTACCATAACCTCTTTCTTTCCTTCACTCTCATTCGTTATTGTCGCCTTTGCTATCTACTCCATGCAACGATGACACCGAAGGGTACTGCTGGACTTTCTTTCTCCGCAGACTTACCCACACTAACCTTACTGTTCGCCGACCTCCAACTTCTCGCGACATAGCCATCACCCCTACTCAACTTCCAACCCCCGGCTCCCTACTTCACTCACGACCATAGAACCAGATGGTCGAGACTGTTCAAGAACCTCGCCAGCTCATTCCCGCATACCCCCGCTTCTGATCTATCATCTAGGTAGCATTCTCTGACTCTTAAGTCTCCCCGACCCTAGCCGCGAGCCCTCTTTCGAGCAGCAAGAAAACCTGCTTTATAGGATGCCCACCTCCACTCTGCGTAACCCTCATTTACACTTCCACGGTGACTACATCTGCCATGTTCTCACGATGTCGGCCTCCCAGCTCAACGTCGATACCTCGTCCTCCCCGCGGCAACCTCTTGACAGCCAGAAAAATGCTGGCGCCGACATGTCCATGATGGCCTTTGTCCAGCCCGGCTGCCCGGCTAGGTTCGCCTACCAGAATGAGCATCGTGTCAAAGGACTCAACGCAGAAACCCTAGCGAGGGTCTTCCTTCCCACGCCCTCATGGCTGTCGACTCCGGAGTATGCAGCAATCCGGTCAGATACTGGCAATCCATCGACCTGCATCTTCTTCAGCCTTAATATTTCCATATACAACCAACAGATAATCTCCTCGGAATGGACCGAGCAATGGTTCTTCATGGTCGGCCGTGTTCATCCCTTTGCCCTGACGTGGGAAATCGAGCGACGTGATGGCTTGGAGTCGGACGATGATAACATCACAGAATACACCGTCCCCGCGCTTATAGTCCGCGATCACAGCTACCAACCGTGAGTCTATGCTCCAAATCTCTGTCGCCACTGCCCTCCTGACGATATCCATAGAATTGTCACTCGCACCTCAGCTCGGTGGATACTTTCCCAACGATACAACCCATTGTCTCCTTCATGGGACCTGTCATCGGCTCCGGCCGCGACCTCCTGCATGGAAACTCGGCTGCGGCCCGACGACACCCAGCTGAGCTGCTGCGGCTTTGTCCAGCTCTCCACCTTTATTTGTCCTGGGATTCCCGGCAAACCCCTTCAAGGGCTTTCACCCTTCCAAGTTTTCGTCATCTTCCCATTCACGCTAATCCTTGGACCTCCCTATGCAAGAAGATGACCGAGAGGCGCGACAGCCAGTTCCAGTCGAACGCTCTCTTCACCTGTACGGGCAAAATCGCCGGCTTACTGGATCACCAGATCATGAAACATGCCCCGGCTTTCGACCAAGACTATATCTTCATCGTCGTCCCCGACACGTGGACTTTCCACGACAAGGCCATGTCCGACCAGGCTTCTGCAACACAACTACTGCCGACGACACCCAAGAGCGCGGTCGGCAATCCTCGGACTATAGCGTTGCGTTGGCCAGGTTTACCTCTACGAAGAAACCCAAGGCCGCCCAAAGCCCCGCCTCCCCCACGCCGCATGCTTCTGGCCCAGTCGATCCCCTTATGCTGGCATCAAGTCGGTCAATGCCCGATCCCTACCAAACCCCAACCAAGAGACCGCGACTTTCTCCCGAAACTTCCACCATAATCACCGACTGTGACGGTCAAGACTCCCCCAAATCCGATACCTCCTCCTTTCTGTCCCCGGAAGACCCCGCAGAGTCAGAGACGGACACCGAACAGGTCAATCACCAAGACACATCCGCCTCTGGCTCTATCAGACCTCCCGCGTCGATATCTTCCCGACCACTGCGCGCCCGACGTCCGCCCAAGAATATTCTCTAAACTTTAAAGCATCAAACGAAACAATACAACATGACAACATGTCTCATCATCCTCAAAATCAACTGCCAAAGGCTCGAATAGCACATTCTCTTCTCTTCTTGTTCTCCTTTTCATGAAGACGATCAAGTCAAAACTTCCCCAATATACTCCTTATTCTGTTTATACCTACGACTTATACCGGTAGCACATGTAAATTTTCCGAGCCTTCCACTCGCCCAGACATGCATTACCTCACATCTCTCTTCAACCCTGCCGTCTCTCCACGCCCTTTGAGTTTGCGCCTTTTAAACAAAATCTCCCTCCAGCGGCCTAGCCTGCCTCCCCGACGCTCTGTCTCGGTTTCACTCACGATAATGCTCTACGTCTCTCGCCGTGTCTCGTATCTCGACCTCACTCTTCTTCCTGTCTCCTATCTACTGTCGCCAACTCTCTCTCTTCTGTAGCCAACTCTTCTCCGGTTCTCTTGTCGCCAAATTTCGTTCCGAAAGGCTTCTTTGCGCGAGCCGCGGCTGGCGAGCCTTCCTCTCGTATTCAGTCAGAAAGAGAGGCATAAAACCTCTTCTCATTGGCTAATTGGCCTCCCCTGTACTCAACTCGTGCGGGCAACGCCACCAAATGAAGGCCATGCCGCAAACCCCTGAGCGTTGACTAGGTAACGAGCTAGCCGTTTCCGAGAGCTTTTCTTCAATGCAAGTTTCCAAGCACGCTTCCACTTCCATCGTGGGTCGAATCTATCGAACCCATCGGTTACTAACGGATTCTAGGTCAAATTTAGCTCCGCGGCCGACCTAGCTACAACATTCCCTGGCACCACCTGCGGGTGTGTATTGCTGCAGCCACGCAAGTCCTCGCAAAGCCTCCCTGCCCGAGCAATATCTAGCAGTCTCGGTGGGAAAGAGGTGGATATATACGGTCAGATGGAGAACAATATGCCCGAGGCAGTCCGCAACTGTCGTACCTGCAAGCAAGATCTGCCCGAAGTCGAATTTCGAAGCGTCAAGGACCCTACGAAGTTTACAGGACAGTGTGCTAGCTGTAGGGCACACCGAAAAGAACGGGCAACCGAATCGCGAGCCGCCGTTACCGCGATGCGGAATATCGCCTCGAGACCATCGCTACGCAGAGCCACGAAGAGGACGGATTCGCTAGCTAACCTGACGCCTCCAAGGCGGACTGCGCCAACGCCTGCGTCTGTGACCGACCTACGACCTCCTGCCATGCCTGTTTTATTCCGTGGCCTGGCGCCTGCACCGGAACTGCCTATACCTCCGCTGGGGCCATCTACTCTAAGCCCTGTTGAGGGACCTTCCCCTTTTCCTCCTACCCTTGGCCTGCCAACAGTAGTTCTGGGCACGCCGATTCAAGACACTGCTTCTACAGCTCCTGTTGTGCAAGGCACTCCTATACCACAGGAATCGCTTCCTACCACTCCTTCATTATTGTCACAGGGTCATCACCGCGGCCGTTATACTCGTCAAGGCACACAGCCTCAAGCGCGGCTGTTTGATCAGAGTAGTGATCCGCCTTTTACGGGTGACCTTGACTTGCCCGCCCTTAGTAAGGAAGATCAGGCGCTTGTGCGAGAGTTCTATACTGCCCTCAATGACGACAAGATGCATAGTTGCATTCGCTGCCAGGAGCGTTGGTTCGATATGAAACGAAATAGCTTGAAAATCTGCAGCCGCTGCATTGGTCGAGACAGGAAGAAAGCCCTCGACGAGCCCTACTTCTTCAGCGCTGCGAATAACCTCGACTTTGGGGAAGTCCCCGGCAATCTACCCGATCTAACGATGGTTGAGGAGATGCTTATTGCTAGGATTCACGTACACGTCAAGGTCCTACAAGTGCGTGGCGCTCAATACAAATATCGCGGCCACGTTATCCACTTTCTTCGCAACATTGGTAGGCTATTTGAAGAGCTCCCAGTGCTACCGAAGGAGCTAGATATCGTGCTCCTACGGCCTCCTAATATGGAAGGCGACCCTCGCTTCCAGCAACAGTTTGCTCGCGATTTCCGGGTACGCCGTTCATGCCTGTTGACCTGGCTGCATTACCTACACCGCCACCACCCGGGCTATCGCGATATCGTCGTGAGCCAGGATCGCCTGCAACGGCTTCCTCTTGACGGCAGCATAGTTGCTTCCATTGCTAGCCAAGTGGCTGACATACCTGACGGCGAGATCCCACAAGGCCCTGTTGAGGAGGCCTTGGAAGAGGATCCCTTCGATGCGGACGCATCAGCGATCCCGAACTTGCAGGTTACCGATACCGAATTAAACGCCCTGCAGTCCCGAGTCCTTGATGTTGCCCTGACTCTGAGCGTATGGCTAATGTTGAGTATATGTCGCATAGCGCGCAGGCTCACCACCAGATGCCATTGCCATCCATTCGCAGGACCCCTATCGACGAATTCAACCGTTCCCAGCCGCTGTTATCGCTTGCGTTCCCTACCCTCTACCCTGACGGCAAGGCCGACTTCGTGGAGCCTCGCCTACGGAGCATCACGTACCAGGACTACCTTGGCCATGCGATGAGATGGCATGACGGACGTTTTGCCCGCCATAAAACGTGGCCTTTCGTCGCCCTCAACACGCTGCTACGTGCGCAGGTCCGAAAGCGAAGTGACTACTTCGTCAAGCAACGCGACAGCCGCCGTCAACCCCTTACACGCGCTGACCTAGAGGAAGCGATGGCTGAGCCTGATGAGCCAGAGGCTCAGGACCTGATCCAGTCGATCACGCGCCAAGCCGCGGTAATCAGGGGCACCCGGCCGTATTGGTATAAGCAAAGGAAGGAATTGGAAGCATATGCCTACAATCTGGGCAGACCTGGCCTTTTCGTTACTGCAAGTGCGGCCGATTACCACTGGGAATCACTATATCGTCACATGCCTCGATTCCAAGAGTGGAAAGCAGCTCCTGAGGCGGCGCGCATGGTCCTGTCCCGGCAACTACTGCGAGACAACGCCCACATCGCCGCCTACCACTTCTACAAGCGTTATACGCTTCTTACGACTATTGTCCTGAAGCAGAAGTTCAACCTAACGGACTTTGGGGCCGCTATGAGTGGCAGGGCAGGGGTCCAGTCACCACCATGGCCTATATTGGTTAAGTGGCCACCCAGACTTGGATCCTGACGATAATCGATCCCGGGAGCGATTTGCCCGTATCTGGGGATATCACGTATCTGCCGTTAACCCAGAGCCTCATCGAATACAGGCTCCTGGGAAGGGAATCCTGATCAGCAATCTATTGGAGCAGCCCTTACCGTTCAGTTCCTATCGATGGTAGTCAACCGCGTGCAACGCCACCGCTGCAACAACTACTGTATGCAGCGCAATAAGCATACCAAGCAGGTAGAGTGCCGATTTGGGTTTCCTCACGGACAGCGCCTACTAGCCTCCCTTGACAAGTTGCCTCACTCCAAGCACTGGACCTTTAGGGGTGAGAGGAACGATGGCCAGATTAACCACTACAACCGCTTGCTTACCGTTGCATGGCTAGCCAATACAGATGTCTCTCCCTGCACGAGCCTCCAGCAGGTGATCGATTACGCAGCCAAATACTGCTCCAAGTCAGAAAAGAAGAGCGAGTCTTTTGCCCAGATTGGGAAGGCGCTGATGCCCCGGGTCAAGGACCACAACCCCCTGATTTCTTTCACGTCAAAGCTCCTGAATCAGCTAGTTGCTGAACGGGATTACTCGAAGCAGGAGGTTAGCCACTTACTCCTCGGCCTGCCGTTACAGGAGGGCTCACGAATCTGCCTATACGTTGACTGCCGTCATCCTGACAGACATTCCCGCTCCTTACGCATTGACGGCGATGAGGTTGACGAGGCCCCAACGTCTACGAAAAGTACGGTCAGCGCCCGGAAGCCCTGAAGGACCTGACCTACGTTTCCTTCCTCAAACACTGGAATTTCCGCTCTAGAGACCCTTCCGCATGGAAGCAATGGCGGCCAGGCAACGTTAACGGCAGGCCCGTGTGTTGGTTTACTTTCCTCGCTATCAGGCTGCTCCAGAAGGCCAGCAGTGGCCAGATTATTGCCGTGTAAAGCTGACATTAAATCACCCACATCGCCGGCTTGATGAGCTCCTCACTTTCGACGGCCAGGCTTTTAGTTCCCACGTTCAGGCCTTCTCCTATTGTTGGCAGCATCACAATCATGGTGATGACCATTACGGCCAGCCAAAAGAGGCTCGATTACAGCCTCAAGATGATCAATATGAGGCTCTGCCTGTGGGGGAAGAATTTGATGACGAAGACTGGATTCGCCTCGCTGCCCTTTTACCTGACCACCCCCTTACCCAGGAAGATCTTGACCTTCTTGGCCGCCGCGATATCGACGTCAATTACGACTGGACACGGCATGTGGGTTCATATCCGGAACTTCAAGATGGCTACTGGAAGGACCTTATCGCTAGCCACCCCATGGCCAACGATGTGGAGGTCCTTGGCCCTCAATGGCGTAATACGCTGAATCCACAACAACGGCTCGTGTACGACACATTCATGGGCCACTTCCAGGCGCGAAATCCCACTCAAATCCTTCTCCACGTTGATGGTGGTGGTGGCACCGGCAAGTCGTTCCTTATCAAGGTGCTTTCCTCCCATCTTCAGGCGGCCGCTCTACCGAATCCTAGCCCTATTTGCCGCGTAGCGCCAACAGGCGTTGCGAGTAACCAGATACAGGGCAGCACCATTCATTCATTGCTACGCCTCCCAGTAGGTGGTGCTTTACCGACCTTCCCCAGCCGACGCAGCCGCCCTTCAGTCCCGCCTACGGCACGTCAAATACCTCGTGATCGATGAAAAGAGCATGCTGGGGATTGAGCAGCTCGCGCGGATCGATTCCCGTCTGCGACAGGCCTTTCCACAGCGTAGCCTCGAGTTCTTTGGTGGTGTGAGCGTCTTGCTTGTGGGCGATTTCTTCCAGTTACCACCAGTCCGGCAAAAGCCCTGTATTCGACTAGCACCAGCCTGTCTTCGTTGGAAAGGAGGGCAGGTGGCCTACCGGTTATTTGACCGCACCGTCTTCCTGACCACGGTACAGCGCCAGGCTGGTGATGATCAGGCTCAGTTCCGTCGGGCGTTGCAGGAACTGCGTGAAGTCAAGTTATCCATACCGTCCTGGAACCTCCTTAGCAGTCGGGTACAGTCCAGGCTAACGCAGAGCGAGGTTGACAGCTTCAGGGCCGCTTTGCGGTGTATTCTACCAGGCCCGGGTCAACGAATACAATTACGAGCATATGGTGCATCTCAACGCCCCGGCAATACAGGTGGAGGCAAAGAATCAGGGCAAGGGCGCGGGGCAGGCACCAAGCGACAATGCTGGCAATCTATCTAACAAGTTCCCTGTTGCTAAGGGCGCCAGGGTAATGCTCACTACTAACCTATGGCAGCCAGCTGGCCTAGTTAACGGTGCCCAGGGTACTGTATACGATATCGCCTGGAACCCAGGCGCCGAACCATTGGAAGATCCCCCGGCCGTTATTATGGTGGACTTTGATAGCTACGACGGACCGCCATATCTAACAACTAACGAGGGCAGGAAAATCTCACCCATCCTCCCAGTCAGGCGTGATTTCCTTATGGGCAACGAGACCTGCGCTCGCACGCAGTTTCCCCTGATGGTGGCATTTGCTATCACTGTTCACAAATGCCAGAGCCTAACGAAGGAGCAAATAGTTACTGATCTCGCTACACGCGACTTCCAGGCCGGTATTAGCTATGTTGCTGTCTCACGGGTTACGTCGCTGCAAGGCTTACTCCTTGAGGCGCCTTTCGATCGTCAGAGCCTCTATAACCACACGCCGACGGAAGGTTTATAAGCCTGTCTCCCCTACATGCTGCGTTTACGGCTAACTACAAAGGCTAAAGCAGGGATGAAGATGCGCCTCGCTGACCAACAACGGCGTCAGGGTCAACAGCTGAGCGATGCACCGTATCCACCACTCTACCTTGACTAAACGACGTCTTCCTATAAGCTACAGGGAAGGGGGAGGTTCGATATAGGGTATATAGTTAGATTGGGCCAGTCAAGGAGCGGTTTAAACAGCTGGATGGCCGCCGCAGGCGAAAGGGGGGTTCTAGGGGGTCCCCCCCTAGGAAAGTTGAATTGCAGGAATACGATGTTCACCCTTCGGGCTGGATATTCAGCCGTTAAGCCCCTTGCCTTGGCAACTTAACGGGTGTTCGAAGTATTTTACCATGCTTACCCCCCCTTCTGCTCACCCCCCCCTTATGCTCCGCCAAATGAGACAAACCTCACCAAAAATCTGATTTTTGAACTGCTCATATTTCGGCGAACTATGGACATATAAATATAAAAGATACATCATTTGAATGAGAATTGAACACACTAATTGGTTCTTGGTCTTTTTATGACGCGACCCTGTCGCGTGGTGCGCTGCGGAGGCCCAGATACGTTGACCTCAATCACCGAAGCTGTCTCCGTCTCCGACTCCATCACCTCCTCTAACCAGTGTGGCTAACAAACCGACAGACCTAGACCGGCCCCTTCGGTCTGTCGGTCTGGGTTTGCCGTGGCTGTCGGTCTGTCGGTCTAGGTCTGTCTGGGTTGGAGGGCCGGTCGGTCTGATGGTCTGATGGTCTGATTGACTGATTCCGTGGTGCTACGGTATGGGGTATTATCAAATAACCACAGACCAAAAATACCTTTTCTTTCATTATAGACACCTACTAAGCTACCAACCCTCTCATTAGCCACTGCTTTTGAAGCTGATCAGCCTCGACTATTTCAGGCGATAGCTGATTGCGCTCGTCTGTGATCATCTTCTTTGTCTGGCTAAACACTCTCTCACATTCAGCACTCATGCCAGGAATTGAGAACAGATCTAGCGCCATTCGATACAAGACTGGGTATTCCAGTTGATGCCGGCTCCACCATTCAAGAGGGTTTGCAACGTCAAGATCTTGGGCGTAAATTGGCCTGGTCTGGAATAAGTCAAGCTCACTCACTGCCTTGACCTTCTTCCGCTGTGTGTTTAACGAGCTAATCGATCTCTTTCCAAACGAGCTGTAGTCATTGTCAGCGTCGACTTCCTCGGATTCGTCTTCCAAAACCCAGCTTGAGCCTGAGTTTCAACTTCAGTCTGCCTCCGGTATTCATCGAATAGGCTACCAACAGCCGACTGAATGTCGCTATACCATTGCGGCTTGTTCATCGCCTTCTTCCAGTGTCGTTCGAAGTAGTCGTACCCATACGACGGGTGCAGTGCTAGAGCTGCCCGATAAACAGGTGTCCTATCGGTTTTGACGTAATAGTCTTCAAGCTTCGCCCATCCACAGTCAATTCCCGACTTAAAATGGGAGGCCTCCTCGAACTGAGTATCCTCCGCGGCCTGCTTGAATTTCATGAACAGGTAGTCCATGGTTTTAAGTGTCTCCCACACAGCGCCGTGGCCGCCCTCCGCCCCCGGCTTACTGGCGTTGCCCTCTATAGTCTTCGTCAGGATATAAAACGGCTTCAAGAACTCGTAGAAACGCTCTAATTCAACCCAGTCCCCAGCGTTGAGGAAGTCGTTAGTTAGGTCACGGTGATCAGGGTCATTCTTAGGCTTTTGCCAGCGAGATTGATAGAGCTCGATGGCGCAGCGCAGTTCGAGTGCTGGTGTAAGCCGACAAGTTGTCAGTACTCAGAATACGGAAGCAACCTCGGACGAGAAACGTACCGCGTTTGATCATCATGTATATAGAGTTCCAGCGAGTCTTGCCGTCAACAACAATCTCCAGGGTAAAAATAGGATCGTCACCAGCGAGCTCGGTCTGCAAATGCCGAAGACCCTGTCGTCGCTGATCTGTCCGTCGAATGTAGGTGGCAATGTTGTGGAGTCTGCCGATAGCTCCTTTCTTGGCCCAAATGTCGAACTTGAACTCATATGTAGCTCCACGAAGCTCAGCCTCGAATTTACTGACGTTGGAGCCAAAATAACTGCTCGGACAACCAGGTTGATAACGTGGCCTATACAGCGTAGGCGGCGTCGGCTGACATCCATTGAAACCACCTAGCAAGCGTCTCTAGGCAGGTATCGTTGCTCTTGGCGTTATCAAGCATGAAGTATCCAAGCTTGGACCCCAACTCGTATCGATCGATTACCTCCTTGAGATAGGCGGCGATATTCTCACCGGAGTGTGGACCGACTAAGCGCGGAAGTCCAAGAAGGACATCGCGTTTTTGGCCTTCACTGCCAACAAAATGTCCGACAATTCCGACGTAGTTAAACGCATTTGAAGCAGTCCATAGATCAAAGCTGGTGTGAACCGAGCTCTTCGCGTTCTTGACGAGATCAAAGACAATTTGCTGTCGGCGTTCAAAGGCTTGACGAATCCATGAGCAGATCGTGGTGTGATGCTCCGGAAGTAGCCGACTTGCAAGCTCTCCTCCATTCGATACGAGCCACCCAAGCCGCTCGCTGGATGCTTGTCGAAAGGTGACATCTTCCACTATGACCCAGTCCACAAAGCGAGCTTTCCATGTCCTCTCGTCGAAATGGGAGGCGAGCTGGTAGCCTAGGCTGGCCTGTCGAGATAAAGGTAGGGACGAAGAGGATGGTGACGTAGCCGCCAAGGTAAACGGAGTCTTCAATCCGGGACGACTCTCGCCGAATTCCGTGATTTGGTGCTGACGACGCAGGTGCTTCGCGGCGTGAGACGTCCCTGAGGAGGCGTATAACGCTGTCGAATAGTTCTTCTTCCCGTGACAGATTCTGCAAAGCCAGTAACGTACTCCGCTATGCTCCAAGTTCGCGCCGTATCTGTAGATCCACGACTCTTTGATCTTTGTGCCGACGACCTTTTGTGACGAGGTCTCATTTTGGCACCCAAAAGTCGTTTGCCGCCGTGCCAGATGTTCTCCCAATCAATGTCAAATTCGCATTGTGAAGCATCTGTCTCGTCTGCTCTGGCCTCGGACGTGGCAGGCGTAGCCTCATGACTGTCATTAACTGGGGTGGGATGTGGACGGGATGCAAATGACTGCGGTACAGACGACACGGGGCTCGTATCCCTACTAGAAGACATAATGACGCGGTATGATACACTGTAGCTCGTAGATGGATGGGAAGACGCGAAAATTGGCAGGGCAGACGCGTAACTTGTTGACATTAGGTAGGTGCTACCTTAAGGCGGAACGGACCAATGGCATCACGGGAACACCAGTCCAGTCAGACCGACTCAGACCACCCAGACCGACTGACTGCTCCGGTCGGTCGGTCTGATGAGAATTGGCGGTCGGTCGGTCTGCGGTCTGTCAGACCACCTTCAGACGGTCTGTCAGACGGTCTGTCTGTTAGCCACACTGCCCCTATTTTATCTGACGCTCACGATACAGTGTCGGTCACAGCGATTGAGGCTATTTCTGCAGCTGGGAGTTGCATTCCTTCGTTTGTGATACTCCCTGGGGTCCAAATTCCTGCCCGTTGGGTTAGCAACAGCCTTGACGACGATACCATCATTTCAACCAGCCAAAAGGGTATATTAACGATGTCATCGCGATTGAATGGATCAGACACTTCGAGAAACACACGAGACCAGTTGATCCACTTCAGAAGCGGCTTCTACTTATGGATAGCTGTGATAGTCACTATACAGAAGAGATGGTTCACTTCTGCTTCGATCACAACATTAAGGTCTTCCCAATGCCTCCCCATCTTACACATCAGCTTCAACCTCTTGATGTCGGCGTTTTTAGGTCATACAAACACTGGCATCAACAAGTTCTACATCGTGAGATTGCTGACGGGGCATATGACTTTAACAAGTCCGATTTTCTATATCATCTTCAAGAGGTCCGCACTCGCACCTTCAAAAAGCACACAATTCTCTCATCTTGGCAGAAATGTGGCCTCTTCCCATTCAGTCCCGAGATCGTGCTCTCTCAGCTTCAAGACACGCTCTCGTCGCTCACAGAAGAAGTGGCTATTAAGGACCTGCCGGGCTCGATCGAAAGCGAGCCTCAGGGCGGGCCTCAGGCAGCAAGACCATCAACACCATCGCCACACACGCCGCCCTCGATTCAACGATTCAACTGGAACAATGTTTCAACGCCGAGACTCAACCTCTCTACGATTCAGAGGTATCACGCCTACGTACAGCTTCGTCTAGCCACATCAGTTGACTCCCACATGCCGTTGACTCCCTCCGTCACATACGTCTATGAGAAGGCGCGGAAAGCCGACAAAACCCTCGCTCTCAACGGCATCACCGCAACGGCCGAGATGACGAAGATAAAAGAGAAACAAGCCAAGCGCTCCAGTCTCCAGCAACAGACAACTATTGTAGCGAGATACGGCCCATTAAGCGTCGGTGACGCTAGAATTCGAGTCGCCCGAGACGAATACAATAGACAAGCGGCACAAGAAGAGGAGGCACAGAGAGTCAGGAATAAGGAGGTTCGCGACGAAGCTGGCTATATACGCCGCTGGCTTCGCAAGGTACGCTTCAACGTCAGGATTAGCATCACAGAGGCGAGGATTCGAGACATCAGAGGTCTCTGGGCCAAGGGCGACAAGCGCGCACACCTCAATTGCAATGAGTGGATGTGCGCAAGCTACAGGATTCTCCGCGAGCTACACAACCGCGGCGTAGGGCAAAGCAAGGCGATCATGTGGCCGGAGTACTATGATCGCGAGATTGTAAAGGAAGCAGCCGAATTAGTGGTGATGGAGGCAAATAAGCGTGCTATTTGCCGTCAGACGCTTTCCTTGGAAGCTGACGGCATCGAGATGCGATGAAGAGGAATCATAAGACGCGCTCGAGGCTGAAGGAAGAAGAAATCGAATAGAGCTCAATTCGATGCCAAAACACCAAAAACACCTCAAAGGCAGTATGGTGATGTATGACTAGCTTGCAATAAAGCGAACATGTGTTGCACTTATCGCGGGAAGAGAGGTACTTTTAAGTTCTAGCAAAATGGCGGGGCTCTTATGTACTTCTTTTTTTCCAGGTCAACGAGCTTTTTCTAGGTCAACCGCCCCCCCGTGACTGTGGAGCTGTCACGGGGATTGGCCGACTTTGAGGCCCCCCTAGTAGTATACAATCCTGGATAGGCCGCTGCTGCAGTTCCAACTGCGTTTCGTCCTCCTTGGAAGCCTTCCGCTTCTTGCACTGCGGCTTAGGCATATCCGGTTTCTCACCCCTTCCCACTCTATCTGAAGACTTCCCAGTAGCAGCTGCCGCCTTCTCTATAGCCTTCGTACTCCGTTTTCGACGTCCCGTTTCCTGAAGAGGTTGTGGCGAAGTTGCCAAAGGAGAGGACGGAGTCGTCGAATGGTCAGGAAGCTGGCCAACTCCTTCGGCAAATCCGAAGTGGCGCGGTCCGCTCGAGCGGCAGCATGCTCTGCGGCCTCACAGCCGGTCATGAATCGTCTTTTCGTGCCACCGTGGGATTTGAACCTCTTCAAGCCAGGCTGATGCAGTGCTTCAGGCAATTCCGGGGGTAGGAGAGCTCTTGACTGTACCTGCGCCCAGAAACCTGCTATTAGACGGTCATTCTGTAAGCGGAAGAGTCTCGAGAACTCCTCTGCCTGCTGTCCGCCGAGGCTCCTGTACTTGAACGACCTCTAATCCCGATTGAAGAACCATGTTCCTACCGCCATCTTGGTAACGGTCCCCTGGGTTTTCTGCTTCTTCAGGAGCTGCCTGCTTTTCATAAGACATGGTCCAGCCGCGTACCACGTCAGGACCGTCGATCAACCAGCGTGGATGAAGAAGATTGAGTGGGATAGCGCAGGACCTAACAACAGCCTCGTACAGCCAGTGTCGACAGGGCAGGCCATATCTGAGTGGAAACTCACACGCAGAAGGACATCCGGGCTCGTTCAGAGCGCCCAATGCCTCGCGCTCCTTCTCGATCTCGGTGTTTTGCCCCACCTTAGGGCCTTGCTGCCTCCCACTCCGGAGCTAGTTTGCTCAGGACATAGTGTGGAACCTTCCCGATAAGAAGGCGAAAAGCAGCTCGGTCCAACAGCCTTGGGACGTCCGCCCTGCTCCGATCCTCGTCTTCGGTGATTTTTTGAGTCAATTTCTTCAAGCTTTCGGCCAGTTTTTGACAAGATGCCTGCAGGGGAAGCTGCCTGTTGAGAGACTGTTTGACCACGACATGGTAGCTTTCGTTTCTCTGTGTGCTGTTACATCCGAGGTTCGGGTACTGTCGTGTGTGTGCTCGGACAAATTGGCGCTCTTTCGGTTGCCAATTATTCTTGAGATAGAGGCGTTCCGGCTCCCGAATTTCTGCGAGCAGCTCGCCTCGCCGTTCTTCAAGTCGCGCCTCGTCGGGAGCTTGTATGTAATCCCAAACGAACCGAAGGAGCTCTTCCCTTCGTTCCTTCGTATATTTGCCCGAGTCTAACAATCGCTTCTTGAAGTTCTCTGCGGCATGCCATTCACAGAGCTGCAATATTTGCCCATCTTCACCCTGAGGATCAGCTCTCGCTTGGGACGCCGCCATCGCGGCAACGAGCCCTTTGGTTTGATCCCCGAGAACGACTTGAGGTGGTGGGCAATCGTACCAGACCAGTTCCGCCAATTGGGCATTCACAAATTCGAAGGCTTCAGCTGATTCAGATGTTATAAAGGCGAAAGCCAGAGGAAATGTCTTGCCTGTGTTTGTGATTCCCACTATGACAGATAAAGGCAGGTGGAGGCAATTGGTGTTGAACGTCGCATCGGTTTGCATGAGGAATCCGCTGACGAATCTTCTACCCAGGCGGATCTGCTCGGAAGAACAGAAGAACAGGTGCTCGAGTACCCGCGCTGTCCGTCGTCCTTGGTCGTCGAGAAGGTATTTGAAGAAGCAACGAACGCGGAAGTCTTCGAACTCCAAACAAGTAAGCAAGAGGTCAAGCGCTTCTTGACTGCTGCGTCTTCCTTCAGACCGACTCAGGTTGTAGAACTCCTTTGCGGAAAGACAATTGCCTAAGCCGTGTTGGTCGAGAATCCGGGTTGATTCAGTCGCCGACAGGCCGGCAGTCCGATGCACGAGGGCCAGATCGACTGCTGCGGCCCGCTCGGGGATACGGGATCTATGGCAGGCGTAATGGAAGGGATTTTGAAGTGGCGGGTGCGTATGGCATGCGTAGGTGAAACCGACCACCCAACCCTTTCGCTCCTCTACCCCTCCGCTCCGGATAGTTTTGTAGGAGACATAAAGACTGTAGGGACAGTCCTTTGCCTTGACGTAGGTGAGCTCCTTCTTTCGGTCCCCTCCCTCTGTGACCGTATCCGATAGCTTTCGCGTGTTTCGCGTGCCTCTTCCATGATGGATGCAGCTCACTCGGAGGCGGTCGCATGCCTTGCTGGTAGTGACGAGAGCGAAACCCTGGGTGAAGGCATAGTCTTGGAACCAGCGAAGGGCTCCCTCAGGGTCGTTCGCCTCGTCACCAGTAACGGGGGCGCGAAGATGCTCATGCGGCAGGGCTTCCACAGCTTTGTCGAAGGCGGAGCGGATGTCGCCAAGGAGGGTGTCGCGGTACTGGATCTCCATTTGGGTTTGCTTTCGCGTCGCCGCGATCTCCATCGAGCTTGATGAATTGAAGGGCGCGATTCTTACGGCGACGCGCACCTGGCAAGGGGCAATTGACAGTTATCCTATTTGGGCTGCAGCCAAGACGCGATCGTTTTTAACCCTTGCTTAGCGCAACAATCCCTGCAATCTGACTGTCCGAACCTGACTGTCCGGAGCCATCCCGATGCGTGCATGGACTCTTGGTGTGTGCAGATTGCTCTGCCACCTCCATCTAGGAAGGGGGGGCCCCGACCTTTGTAGGTACCGAGGCGAGATGTGGAAACTCTTTTGCATACAAATTTGGCCTAGGAATGTTTCCCGCTACCGTAAAGTAACACGTTCCTTCTTAAAGACTGAACCTAACTACTCTAGCAATGCAAGGATAGAGATAGCGACTGGTTTACCGCAGGCGTTTTAGTAGCCCCAGGGGCAAACCGTCTTCCCCCGCCGCCTTCCATGGTGCCGTCCGTTTGATGCCCTGCTCGACCTCCGAGGAGTAGGCACGGGGACTTCGCCAACTGTCATGACCACGAAGTGGCCCGGATCGAATACTCCTGCGGGAGAAGACAATCGCCCTCCAGGGCAAACCCCCGACTAACATACCTACACTCTCTACTTCCTTTCTTTTTTCTACCCGTAGGCCCTTCAGGGGGCTTGCGGCCGGCCCATGACTTCGTGGTCTCTCTCAGTCACCTGGCCTCGGCCAAAAACTGACTACTATTACTCTTTCACTGCCGTGCCTGGAACCGCTGACGAGGGAAGGGCCCCGAATTTCCGATCGGCCTTCGAGCCTCAGAATTGCTAGATGGAGTGGTTAGGTGCTACACCCGGCCCTTAGTCCAGGTACTCGGGATATTCTATGTATCTAGTCTTCTCTAGCCTAGCACGTCTTTTGCCCTTATATGGCTGCCCCAGACGGTAATCAATACTACTATTACTACCACTAAAGTAGTCAAGGTAAAAGATGGTGAGGCTTCTTGGTAACCGTGTAATGGTACATGTGAAAATAGTGCCATCTAGTCCGACTTGGCTCATATCCCTAGCCCCGCATTCATGTCTCGCTGTATAAGCGCCAAGAAAACGATCGTCACCGGTGAATGCTGGAACAGGCAAGTACTTTCGGGTCGTCGGGGACCAGAGGCTGGTGCGCTAGTGGTTGATCTTGTACTTTGACCGTGTAAAGCGCGTTAGAGTAACATATCATACCCCGCGTCAGACGGGGCTGTCGTCTGCAGTTGCATGCAGCTTGCAGCATGTCACAGCTCGTATTCATTACGTACTAAGTACAGACAGGTCTTTTCTTCATTCGGTTTACCTGTGTCGACTGCAGGGTTCGCCTTCTAGGATCAGCATACTGACCCAGCAGGAAAACCTGAACTGGCCAATCAGATACCATTCCTCTTCTCAGATGATAATTAGATACTCAGCCGGGACATCGGGCTGAAACGAATATATAAAGCCAGGTCCTCGCAGCGGAACTGGATACCAAACAGGATCGATTGCCACAACCTCTCGCCGACAATATTGCAAAGATTGAAGTATCAAGGTTCAATATGAAGTTCACTATCGTATTGACCATTCTCGGGTGAGCAATCCATTCGCCTCAAACGACTTTGTCACTATTATTTGTCACTAATCATCTCCAGCCTTTCCGTCTGCGGTTTGTCTCGTTCATAACATCGGTCTTTCTCTCAACTAACAACAGCACTCAGGCGGCTCGGCGATATCTTGTGGAGACCAGGCGGGCTCCCGGGGTGTCAGATGTGTTGCGCGTGGCCGCAATTGTCCTCGTGGCTTTAGGCCAGTCTTTTATGACAACCCTCGCCCCTGTCGAAGCGGCCAGAGATGCTGCATCTAAGTGGTGGACATTCGCCCTTGTGGGCTGGGCCGGCCTTAACAGATGATTGACAGGACCTGCTTCGTCCTGTTTTCATAAGCTGTGCGTGGGCTTGTTTGTTACCATAACCGCGTTATGGTACTTTGAAGATTTCTATGATTTCTTGCCTGGAGCCTTGGGCTTGATCCTTAAGTTTAGGTACCACGTCTTAATCGAATCGTTCGGGTCACGACAAGTCTGATAGTAGGATGTGTATATATGTTGCCTGATGTATCCCTTTGGGTGCCCGAAGACCTCCCCTAGGTCACGAGACCCACAATACGTAGCTACATGTCAGGGGCTACAGTGGGGGGACAAAAGTTCCGGTCAATGACGCTAGCGCGTCGCGTACGCGCGTCTCCCACATTCCAACCCTTCCTCTTCAAATCACCATCATGCCTTCAAAATGAGCCCAATTACGCCCAAAACACTGGAGCCCTCATAAGAGGACGAAGATTGTGACCCTCTTTGATTGCGGCTTCTCAGCTGCCCTCGTCGGCGTCAAAGAGGACGTTTCTCCTAGAGCTGTCTACGGAATCGTCAGGCGTTACAGGACACAGTCGAGTGCGAAATCTTTGCCGCGCTCTGGGAGACCCTCAAAGCTCAATGACACCCATAAAAGATATATCTTTCGATGCATCGCGAAAGACCCTTTCATCTCGAATGCTCAGCTTCTTCGTGAGGCTTCTCTAGAGTGTTCTACACGTACTTTAACACGGTACCTTCGACACCATGGCATACAACATGTACGCGCTCTTCGACGTCCAAAATTAACAGAAGAACATGCTGCAAAGAGGCTACAATTTGCACTACAATACCATCAAAAGCCAGCTTCCTTTTGGCATACATGGATTTTCTCTGATGAGACGTCAATCGCTCGTGGGGACGGCGAGAGACAGAAGTGGGTTTTGCAATTCAGTACGTCTTAATACCCTTACTTCAAAAATCCTCCTAATTGCAAAAAGGGGATAGATTAAATCCGAAAAACGTACAAGCAAGAGGAAAACCTACTCGACATTCCCAGATGTTTTGGGGCGGCTTCTCCTTTAATCGGCGGACTTCTCTTACACCAATGCTAGGAGACCCCGACTCAGCCCGTGGTGGCGTTACTGCACGCCGTGTGCTCGAGACCTTACAAGAAAGCCTACCTACAATTGCAGAGCCAGGCTATACATTCGCCCAAGATAACGCCTCAACACATACGGCGGCCATTGTGCAGGCGTGGCTTGGCTGCTGGGTCGAAGAAAACAGGGTAGATTTGGTCGACTGGCCGCCATATTCACCTGACCTAAACCCCATAGAAAACGTATGGAAGCTGCTTAAAGAGAGCATTATGGAGACTCACCCTGAGCTCTCAGACCTTCCAAAGAACTATAGCTCCAAGCAGAAGCTCTGTTTTGCAGCGGTTGGAGCGTGGGAAGACCTTGAAGAGGATACCTCAATCACCTAATAGAATCAATGCCTCGGCGCCTTCAAGCTGTTGTGGCTGCACGTGGCTGGTATACCAAATACTAGCCGAAACAACAATAATCTCCACTCAATTCTCTATATATTTATATCTTCGGCTTCATAATTGACCTTCATTTGGCAAAGTAATGTGCTGTTGAAAAGAGGGCTCTGATGCGGCGTTGTGGTGGGTGGGCCGGATTGACCGGAACTTTTGTCACCCGACTGTAGCAGCATCAGCAAAACCTTCACCAGTCAATTTTGCTAGCAGCGCATTCAAATTAAGCTCTATGGCTTCGCAACAAGATCCACAAGCTTCGCAGGCAGCTATTCCTGCTGTGAATAGCTTCGAACAGACCCTATATGTGCGGCTCGACCACTGTCAGCGCGAGCAGCCAATTGACAGCACAGTCCGCCCCCAATTTGACCCCGAGCCCGAACGGGGCCCCGAATTCGTCCCTTTTCACGTCCCTGAGCGCGAGCCACAGCCCCAACAGCTGCCACCAACGCCGCTGTTACTTTTCCAGCAATTCCTACCCGAATCCCTAGTTAAGGGCTGGGTCGGGTACACCAATAACGGTCCAAGGCCAGGCCCAGAGGGTCCAAGGAAGAAGTATTCAAGAGAGAATAGCTGGACAGAGACATCTCTTGCAGAGGTCTTTATTTGGATTGCTACTTTAATTTATATGGGCTTACATAGGGAAACAAGAGTTCGAGACCATTGGAAGACCTCTATAATTGACTCAATGGTCCCTACACACCCAATCCTTCAATTCATGTCATTTAACCGATACCAACTTCTACAACGGCACATTCGAATTGGCGACCCGAATAGCATCTCTTGCGGGCTCCCAACGCCCTACGCACAGGTCAATGAGTGGGCTGAACACATACAGCAGGCGTCTCTTGCCCTCTGTCAGCTAGGCACTTGTTTGGCTGTGGATGAGTGCATCGTCGGCTATACAGGAAGATCAAAGCAGACAGTCACTGTCAAGAATAAACCCACACCCACAGGCTTTAAAGTGTGGGTTGTGGCTAAGCAGGCTATTTCCTTCGGTGGTTCTGGCACCAACCTTCCAACGCCCTTGGCCCGGCTGCTGGGAAGAAAGGAAGAGGGCCACAGGCACGGCAGAGAGCGGCATTTCTCTCAACCCGACCCAGGGCGTCGTTGTTTCCCTAGTCAAGCAGCTGCCAGAACAGACATACCATGTCTTCTTCGATAACCTCTTTTCCTCGCCGAACCTTCTCAACGCTCTTCGTCAGCTAGGGATTTGGGGCCACAGGCACAGCCCGAGTCAACTGTGGCTTCTACCAGCCCTTTGTGGAGGCGAAGAAAGCTGACACAAAGGGTGACTGTTGGCCTTGGGGCACGCTGAAGACTGCGCCTACTCCTGATGGTCAGGTAAGAGGTTCACGAGACAGGCCCTAGTAATTCCCTTACTAATTTGTCTTCTTCTTCTTTCAGGTCAACCAATTCGCATGGAAGGATAATGCCCTTGTGCTTTTCCTCTCAACAGTCTATTCAGGCGAGGAATTCGAACAGCGAATACGCCGGCGCCCGACAACAACACAGCCCCGAGCACGCCCAATACAGCATGAATTTGGTGATGAGCCTGTCAAAGAGCTATTTGTGCCGTCTATTGATGAAGCCCGTCTCGTCAAAATTCCAGATATTTTCGCGCCGGATATCGTGCCTCGTGATGAAATTCGGCCAGTCTTGGAAGAATGCCTCGACACAAGCTCGGTCTTGCATCGCCTTTCGCTTAACGTCTCGTGAAGCTGCTTTCCGGCGATGGAAATACCGTCCCCATCGCTTCATGAAACGCTGGGCCCATTTCTGTGATGCCGTGCCTCCTGCCTTTTGCCTTCAGAATGGCGTTGGCGTGTTGTTGAAGGGCGCGCCCCTGGATATGGTGCCCCTGAGCGATGCGGCGATGTGCCCAGCAAAGCACTTCTTGCTCTTCTTCCGACCCCAGTAGCGTAGCGTTCCCGCCATTCTCAGAAACTGGATGATGCCCTTGAATGCGTGATCTCAGGCGCTTGTACGGCACGCCCAATGCATCAGAGGCTGCCTTCATCGTACGGTAAAAACCTTCGACAAAGAGCTCCGATGCCGCGACAGTGCGAGCTTCGAGATTCTCTTGACCATGCCGCGCGAAATTGGGTTTATTCGTCTCAGAATTAATCCATTTTTGCATAGCAGTAGGTTCAGAGCTTGAGGAGGCCATAGCGAAAATCTCGTCGAAATTGCAGCTCCAATCCGTTTGCTAGCCATTCTCATCATCTTCGTCATCGTATATGGTTTTGTTGCATAGCTTATCTAACGGAAGTGCGGAGATGATATTGAATAATCAAGGATATGCTGTTAAGAATGGAAGCTTCAGTTTTGCGTGCACTAAGGTACATTTCTATGTACCTTGATTTCTTTTCCGTGTCAGCGTCCTTTTTCCCGGTCAGTGGCCCCCCCGTCCCTGAGGATCGGGGACGGGGATTTGGCCGACTTTTAGGCCCCCCTAGTAGGTCTCACCCAGCTCTTTTTGCAAGGCGAGGCTGCGAGCTGTCGGGCTCAATCCGGCGGCTTTCCTACCTCCATTGGTGGGCTTTCGCTTAGCACGTCAATAACAGGTGTCCGTGGCTAGCCGACATAACATCCACGACGCGACGTCAGGGGCAAGCGGCAAGAATACGAGAAGCGTCCTACTACGACATCAACGCTCGCTTGTATCCAGAGCCATGGAACCAGAGTGCGTCGGCTCGGAATGCGCCACAGTGTGTGCTGCTCCCGTTATCATCACCTGCTCCTCCATTGACATCAGTTCTAGGCGGCTCCGCCGACGTTACCGCATCGGGTGCCAATCCCGACCACTCCCGGCCGATCGCGTCCGACTGTTGACAACATTTCTACCCATTTGACGCACGTCAGCTCTGCAACTACGTCCTCTCGCAAAAGGTGGTCGCCATGGCGCAAGCCGAGTCGTCAGGGAAAGCGAAGGTTGCGCAGCCAGTCGCCGTCGCGGTTCCGCCATACCACGTCCGACTCGGATACTGATGACTGCGACTGGGACGTGATCGACTCTTCTGGTCCGCTTGATGCAGCTCTGTTGAGTGGTCAAGACGTCGACTCGCAGCGACCGAGTCCAACGTTGGCCGAGGCCCCCCTACCTGTCGAGTCTCACGCGAACCAACAAGAAACCACCCCCCGGCCGGAACGACTTGTTGATGACGGCGAACCCAAGCTATGCAAGGAGCAGCAGAATCTGGTCGACCTGATTGCCAGCGGTCGTAACGTCTTCTACACGGGCTCGGCAGGTTGTGGCAAGTCGACGGTGTTGAAGGCTGCTCTAAAGAGACTCCGGGCCATGGGCATGGTCGTCGACGTCTTGGCTCCCACCGGCCGAGCCGCCCTTCAGGTCAATGGTGTGTCGACGTGGTCCTATATGGGATGGACGCCCGACCATCATAAGCTTCCGTTAGATAAACTCAAGACTCTGGCCTTCCGAAAGCATGTCCGGCAGCGTCTCAGGCACACCGATGTACTCATCATCGATGAGATCAGCATGGTCGAGAATCATCACCTGCAGCGCATTAATGTTTGCATGAAGGAGGTGAGGCGCTGGAAAGACGATGATCCGCCTGCATTCGGTGGAGTCCAGGTCGTTGTCACCGGCGACTTCTGCCAACTCCCCCCGGTGAAGCCTTTCCAGCATTGCATCGAGTGCGGGCACGAGATGGAAGCCGATGCAAGCAAAACTGAATTCAATTGCCCAGCCGACGAGAATCATGGGCCATTCCACGAGCATGAAAAGTGGGCTTTCATGAGTGATGCATGGGGTCAATGTGACTTTACGCACGTGCACTTGACACAAATTCATCGGCAGAACGATAAACACTTCTTAAAGATGCTTCAGAAACGTCGACTTGGGGTGTCTTTTTCGCCAGACGAGATTGTAACCCTGATGAACCATCCATGCAACGTCACCAACGCTACACGGCTCTTGTCCACAAGAAATGAGGTGGCCAAGATTAATTCAGAAAGATTTAACAAACTCAAGACCCCCATTGTCAAATATCGCACCTTGGACGATTTCATGTGGAACAAGGTCGGACACCCTTATTTGAACTACTGCAATGACCGCTTCTCGGACGGCTCCTTGGTCGCTCTCAGGGACCATCGCCTCGAGCGACAAGTAGAGCTAAGAGCAGGCATGCTCGTGGTGCTGCAAGTCAATCTCGACCTTCCAGGCGGGCTTTGCAATGGAAGTCAGGGCATCATTTGCGGGTTCGAAAATTACGATCCTACAACAATTCCCAAACCCAAGTCACGCAGGGGCGCATGCAATTATTATATGACGCCTGGAGACGGTCTCGTTGCCCGAGGAGACTATGTGGCGCTTAAGGAAGAACAAGTACAACGCTTCATAAACAGCCAAAACAACCGCGTCTGGCCTCGGGTGCTTTTCCACAATGGCATGAAGCGGACTATTTATGCCGAATGTGTCGTCAACGCCGTCGGCGACCAGGAACCCTTTTCTCTCTTGCACCGCACGCAAATCCCTCTTGTAGCCGCCTGGGCCATGAGCATCCACAAGAGTCAGGGCATGACGCTGGATCGCGTCATAGTCGACCTAACGAGAGCTTTTGAGGAAGGGCAGGTCTATGTCGCTTTGTCGCGGGCGACAAGTCTTCATGGTCTCAGGGTCGAGGGGCGTCCAGAGGGGTTGAATGTAGGGCGCGGTGGCAACCCCCATGTGCAGCAGTTTATGCGGGACAAGTTTGGGCCCGAGGTGCTGGGGGAAGACTCTGAAAGGTGATGATTTTGACAAAGGACATCCAGGTGACTGGAATCAAATCGTGAAACCCCCATCACCACACAGGGCCCTCAACAAGAGGAGCACTTTGCAAAGATTCAGGTTGGTCGCATTTCTGCAGGATAGACCCTCTCAAGCCACTCAAGCGCAATATGGTTGCAATATGGTTATCCGTCCATCCATGATTCCATTGGGCGGTGTTATGTAATGCCAGTCGGCCATTTTGCCGAATTCTTGCAAGAACCACTACTTCTGGGGTTCTTTGCACTTGAAAATAATGCCAGGAGTAAGGGCATGGCCGTCCGCAGTGATAACCTCAATAAATGACGTCCAGTTGCGGGACCGTGGTCCTTTCAGAAGGGCCTTCCGTTTCGGGCCTGCACTCCCAACCGCAAGACTATCCAAACCTGGCAAAAAGATTTTGTTTAGTTAGAATAATGAAAGGCAAGTCAAAAACTCACCAAAGCCAGACATAATACCGTGACTGGTTGCCCGGCAACTTCGCGGAGCTAGTGGTCCGAAGTGTTGCGCACCAGATCTCGCCCTGCGCGACGACACAGGCAGTAGGCAGTTTTGCCGTCAGTTCCTGATCAGAGCGGCAAATAAGATCTTCTCCGAGCGACAACTTTCGGCTGTAGAGGCCTGTTACCACCTCCTTGGGTATCACACATATTTTTCCAACGTGCCGCATTGGTGACACGACGGTGAATTCAGGGTCGGGCCTCCGATCAAAAGGAAAGGAGACGGTTGCTGCTGACAAAGTTGTTGACGCTGCGCTGCACGCGCTCGAACTTGATGAAGCGGCAGGACTCGCTCTCGAGGTGGTTGATGATTCCGGCCAGGGTCTTGAAGTTCATGCAACACGAGGTGTTGGGGCAATGGTAGAGCTCCTGCTGGTCTAGAGGTATGGCGGTTTCGAATTAGTGGAAAAACGGGCAGCAAGACGTGAGAAGTGGCTCGGAAAAAGCAGGGGCTTACGGATGGGCGAGTTGAGGTGCTGCTCGAGACTCGACAGACGGCCAAAGACGCGGCCGCAGATGAAACACTCGTAGCCACGGCCGTTCCACGAGCCCGAGTCTACCTCGTACTCGTAGGAGCTGGTCCACTCGAGGAGGTTCTTGGAGATGATGCCGCCGGGGTCCTTGGAGCGGACGATACGGAACAGCTCGTCGCGGTTGAGCTGCGGGGCCTTGGGGCACGAGGCCGTCTCGAGATGATGGGTCAAGCCGGTGGCGGTGGAGAAGAGGCGAGAGCAAAAGGGGCAGAGGACGGTCAGGCCCCTGTGGACGCGTGAGTTGAGGTGCTGCAGAAGCCGGTCAAATCGACGCACGGGAAGTGGGGAGAGCAAGGGGAGACCCACCATCCTGAGGTTGTTGTCAGACTGAAAGTAGCGATCGCAGTCGGCGCAGTAGAGGTGGTCGTCATGCTCATGCTCGGTGCATGCATCCTGCGAAGGCCACGTCTCGGAGCACACGGAGCAGGAGAATACGCGGTGGTCGAGAGCGTCCATGTGCTGCTGGCGGGCGCGTTCGGACCAGAACCAACGGTGGCATGTGTCGCACTCTAGGTTCGGGGGCGAGTGGCCTGTCGAGCGGCAGTGCTTGTCGCGAGCTCGCAATCCGGCGGGGAAGGCTTTGTCGCAGGTGCCACACTCAAAGTACGCGTTGGGCGGCATCGTGGCGGCCGGGGCGCCGGAAGGGGGCGCCGGAAGGAGGCGGGCGGGGGGGACGTCTCGCGAAGAGAGTGGGGCAAAGGGGTATGAAAGGTGGCCTCAAGAATAGTAGGGGCTTCTCCGGGATCAATTAATTCATGTGTCTCTCTCCTGCCCTTTCCATATGATCAGATGGTCCTTTTATAACCTTCCTTGCCACTACCCCACCGGCCACGTCAGCCTTCAGCTCCTGTCGTAACTGACCGGTAAAAACTTACCTCAGCAGTGCTCAGGCCCGGTCACACCCCCTACCCGCTCAAAAATTCCCCACCAACGCGACCCGCACTTCACAAGCCGAGCACGATGACGGAAATTCGAGACCAATCGATTCCACGCGAAGAACGGGTCCTGCTCGCCGTCAAGGCCTATCAGCAAGGCCAATTTGACAGTACCCACAAGGCCGCAACGGCATATGATGTCCCTCAGTCGACAGTATCTGGTCGACTGCGAGGTGCCCGCCCCCGACGCGATGCGCAGATGAACAGCCAGAAGTTGACGGCGACGGAAGAGACCGCCCTCGTACAATGGGTATTGTCGATGGACGAGCGAGGAATGCCGCCGACAGTGGTCTACACTCGCCGCATGGCCAACTTGTTGCTCTCTGAAGCGCGGCCAAGAAACTGTCGGCGAGATTGGGTGCGGAAGTTCGTTGGCCGCCACAACGAAATCAAGGCGAAATACTCTCGTCGATATGATTACCAACGCGCCAAATGCGAAGATCCGAAGACGATCCAAGAACGGTACGATCGAGTGGCAATGGCGAAGCAGAAATGGGGGATTCTTGACGAGAATGTCTACAACTTCGATGAGACGGGGTTTCAAATGGGAGTCATTGCGACGGCAAGAGTCCTTGTCACACATAGGATATCAGCCTCCAACAGTCTGACCCCCTATTCGCACAGTCCGTTTCCACATTTCCCCACAGAAACTTCTAGGAGGCATCATCAACGCATCAGTGGCTTCCAGATGATCTGATCAGATGCTTCCATTCACTACCATTCCCTTCCATTCTCATATTCAGGCAGTCTATAAAGATCTCGCCTCTTTCCCACCTTAGATAGCAATCAAGAGTCTTCCAGTCCCTGATCTTTATGCCCACTTGCTCATCCTCCGTGCGATAGTCCTTACTCGGTCTGACCGGCGAGGTCGGCCTATGGTCACGCAGCCAGGAAATCGAGAATGGGTTACGGTGATTGAGTCTATCAATTGCCAAGGTTGGGCTTTGCCGGCGATGGTCATCTTCCAGGGCAAGGCGCACCAAGTGTCACGGGCTGTGCCCGGCTGGTGGACTCGGTTGTACCGGGTCCGGTGGGTCGTGCCGGTGGCAACACCGGCCCGCTCCGCGGACCCGGAAGCTGCGAGAACATTCCGTGAAGGGCAATATAAGCTCGCACTCGAGGCGTGGCCTCGAGTTCAGCTTCTTTTCCTCCTTAGCTCTAGATAGACAACACCTAGGCACCTGCTAGTTGAATAAACTCCGGGCCATCGAATCGTAGCCTAGTTGGTCAGGCTCGAGATCGTGGAAGTCGACTGCCAGGCGCTCGCCTGGTGGCGGCGTTTCTCGTGGCTCCCTTCGAATTTGTCGTTTCAATTTGGCCGTGCCGCAGTCATCACATCCTGTGGTGGTGATGCCTTTGATGCGGACGCCTCTTGAGCAGTTGACAAGGTGCTCCAGGGTTCTTGGACCTGGATGCCCAAGGCGGAGATGCCAGAGCTCTGCGGTCGCGGTCTGTGGGTGGCGTTTGGTGATGGAGCTGAATTTGTTGCGTCGGGCGAAGAACGCTCTTCCTTGACACATCGTAAGGAATGTGCTCCAGCACGAATTGCCCATGCTCTTCTTGGACGAAGGCGAGGATGCGTCTATCGGCTGCTCGAAGGCATGATCGCTGGCCGGGGGATTCGTCCCACCAAACGCCCTGCCTTTTTAGGTGTTTGTAGGAGATGAGGTTGCATGCAAAGTTTTCACAGTAGGCGGCATCGGTTAAACGCAGCAGACGAGGTCCTCGAGGGCCCTCGACTTCCACGTCCACGTCGCCATAGCCTTGGATTGGCACCTTGCTTTCTCCTGCCCAAAGGAAGTCTCCAGGGGTTGCTCTTCTAAAGTGGGTGAAGCGAGAAATCTCGTTGAAGATGTCGATGGTGGACCCAGAGTCAAGCAGGGCGGAGTGGCATAGAGGGCAGTTATCAACGGCAAAAGCTGCCTTTGTGTCCGCTCGAGCGATGAAGAAAGAAGCTAGAGAGCACTTTCCCATCGCTCTTAGGAGTCAGTCCTGATCCTCATGCTTCTCTCCGTCTCTGCGTTGCTCTTGTCGCTTCCCCTTTGCTCTTTTGATCTCTTCTGCGATGGACTCGTCTTTGAGGTTTTTCTTGATTGTGTCCGAGGGCTTCCACCACTCGGCAGCTCTATCCGGGAAGATTCCCCAGCAAAAGTCAAGGCGGTGGCCGGGCTGTTCGCACAAACGACAGTATTTTTCTCCCTTGTCGTCTGTGGTCTTCGACCTGGGCCTTTTGCCACCTCTTCCTCGCTGGTGGTTTGCACGGGCGTTGAAGGTCGGACCAAAAGCTCCTCGTTTAATGATAGAGGGGCCCGAATTGTTGTAAATATACGCGAGGAAGAGGTCCTTTAGCTTGTGGATTGTGAAATTAGGTTGGTCTTGGGGATTCGTGATGGTAATCGTGTCGACCCAATGGAAATGTGGTCTGACGGCCCTGAGGAAGTCTCGTAGCCAGATTTCCTCGTTAAGAGCCTCGGGGAGTCCTCCCTCGAGCCCCTCGTTAATAGCTTTAATCCATATGTCGGACCAATTGGTCCAGTTGCGAGGCGGCTTTGCGGTCGGGGTAATAGCCTTCTCGTATTTCTGATGAAGGGTTCTCCTCACCTCCTTCTCGGACCCTTTTGCATTACTGTTCAGAAGCTCGTACCACTGCTTTAAGGACTGGTTCGCCTTGCAGCATGTTCTGTGGTATGTCTTGCATATAGTCTTGGCGACCCAGCTGCGTAGGTCTCGAATGCCTTCCTGTTGCTGCCCGAACAGGCGTAGATCTGACTGATAGATCGTATATTCGAATTGCTTCTCTCGAAGGCGACGATCTCTCTCGGCCACAGAGGCTGGCCTCGTAGTTGTTAAATGTGGCTCTCGCCGACAAACCCGACGATTCCCTTATTTGGAACCAGGTCTACAGCGCAGTCGCCGAATCCACCCCGCCTCCCCGACCGATACTCTCGTCAATCCAACAAACGCCGCTGAGTCAGAACACGAGCGGCCTCGTGAACTCGTCAGAATCCCGCCAGAATGTCGACCCGATACTGAAGTTGGAGCTCGAACATGTCTATGTCGGAGTTTCCAATTTCCACAAAGCCTTATTTGGAGACGTGCCAGACCTCGACGTGGTTTCTGAGGCAGTCTTCCGCAGCTGTACAGAAGGCGACAACCCACTCTTCAAGGACGGGTGGAGTGGATGGCCGGCAGGTGCCAAAGAGAGCGATGTGCTGACTTGGTTCGGCGGCCTAATCCCGAAGCTGGAAGAATTCGCAGGCGATCGCATTTCGCGTCCGGCGGCTCGGCGAAAGCTGCTGGCGCAGCCGAGGACACCACTAGTTGGCTCTATAGGCAAGCGCAGCATGGACATCGGTTTTGTCAATAACGACATCACATGTGATCCCAATCCTGAGGATTTGAGATATCGTTGGTCGCACATCCTCATTGCTGGCGAACTGAAAAGCAACGCTGCAACCCGAAGGCCGACATAGCATCGATTGCATGGATTGATCTCGCAAGGTATGCAAGAGAGGTATTCGCGGCTCAAGACACACGTCGATTCGTTTTGGGCTTCACCCTCTGCGGGTCGCTTATGAGGGTATGGGAGTTTGACCGGCTTGGGGGGATCGCCTCCGAACAATTCGACATCAACAAGAAGCATGGTGCGCTACAGTTTGCGACGACAATCCTGGGATTTCTGCGAATGAATAAGGAGATGCTTGGTTTTGATCCCACCATTATAACATCCGGCGGCCAGCAGTATATCGAGATCGAACGAAACGACAAAACAGAGCGTCTCATCATTGATGATGTTATGAAGCGAGCGCGGTGCATTGCCGGTCGGGCGACAACCTGTTGGAAAGCACATCGCAAAGAAGACCCCCAGACGCCGCTTGTTATCAAGGACTCCTGGCAGTACACGGACCGAGACGAAGAGGGTATACTTGTCCAAGAAGCGACTGAGAAAGGTGTTATTAATGTTGCCCGATACTACCACCACGAGACTGTACGCGTCCGCAGTGCGGATGACGACATCCAAAACAATGTTCGAAAGAGACTGGACGTCACCAAAGCTACAAATTACCGATCAGGACATGCGATGTTGCCATCAGGTACGAGCGCGTCAAGTGTGTCACGCAGAGGGCAAAGCAGCGGCGCTGGTGTGAAGCGACCGTCCAGCGAAACCGATGCCGCTCTGCCGCCTAACAAAAGATCCGGTTCAATATCTCCAGTCAAGGCAAGCACCGGAGCCCTGCCAAACCGTGTACATCGGCGACTCATTCTTCGTGACTTTGGAAAGCCAATCTACAAGGCAAAATCTCGCACGGCGCTGCTCGCTGCGCTGAGAGCTGCATTGAAGGTCACCAGTCGTTGCATGAGGCGGGCCTTCTCCACAGGGACATCTCCATCAACAACCTCATGATCAATGAAGATGATGAGAACCCTTCGTGGCAAGCTTTCTTGATTGATCTAGACCTTGCTATACGAGAACAACGACAAGGTGCCTCAGGAGCAAAAGGAATGACTGGTACGAGAGCATTTATGGCTATAGGAGCTTTATTGGGCGACCAGCACTCCTTCATGCATGACCTGGAGTCGTTTTTCTGGGTGCTCTTTTGAACATGCTAGGGTGATTGGTCGGTTTGACAAGTGGAACTACGTTGATGTGTGTGACGGTCACGGACTGAGCCAGAAGGCTGTGGACTCTATTACGAAGATTCTGCTCTGAAGAAGAGAAAGGAGAACCGAACAATACAACTGGGTGTCCTCTCCCTAAATATGCCTTCCGTACGTGTGGGCCGCTGGCCCAACAACATGTGGGTCATGTATGCAAGGGGGGTGTGACGGTGCTAGGCCGTCACAATGTGGAAGAGTTAGCAGAACTCAAGTCGGGCTTGGTGGGCAATGAACGGCATTTTCTCAACCGTATCGGCCAGTCATTTACCCCCTTATTTCGAGCCTCTGGCTCAATGGGTAAACCGGCTGCGACGGGAACTCTTTCCAGGGGATAAGCCGTGGCAGGGCCGAGAGGATCCTGGGCTATATGTTCGTGTTGGTGGAACGTTATGCCAATACACATCGGAATAAGAAGGGGGTCACACACGAAGGTTCAAGATGCATGTTCTATGTCTAAAGGGGCAGTCTGAAGGGGCTATTTATACAGGAGGTCTTAGGGACTTCTGGGGACCTCCTGAGTAATGGGCTCTACCCACGCATACGTGGCTGTGCCCACGCATAAAGGGTTGCCTTCCTTACTCAGGAAGTCCTCATGCGTTCCTGCTACATGGGCCAGGAATCCCTTCTCCGGGTCCCTCCCTAACAGGGCTACCCTGGTCCACTGACACACCCCCTTTTGTAGCAGGCTCTGACGGCCTGGTGCAAAACAGAAGAAGACAACTACTCGTCCCACAGACCCACGTAAAGTGGGTCCTCACCACCTGGCTGTGTCAACCACCTGGCTGTGTCACTTTACGGCTTCAACGCCAACTTAATTTAATAATAAAACGGCAAAAAAAGTTAAAAATTGATGCATACGATAATTGAATACTGGCCGCAATAGTCTACCTATTTTTGACCTTTGTAGCTTATAAAGCTGATCGTTGGGCTTCTTTTTCGGCTTTCTTAGCCGCCCGGGCTGCCGTCGCTCCTCGAGCTCAATCGCCCTTTTCTCCCTCTTTTGCTTCGCCAGTACCAACTTTTCTGCTTTTGCAATGCGAATATCTTCCTTTGACTTCGCAATAGCCCTCCCTTCGTCTATAGTCAGTACTCCACCGCTTTGAAGGTGGCGGTTCTTGTATTTCTTCCGGCCTTGGCGTTGCTGCTCGGCAAGCTTGGTATTGTACAGATCGACCATCGTTTGCTTTAACTCGTGGCCTTGGGAGATTGCACCTTTAACGTAGCGTTGAAGGTTATGTACGAAGACCTCCTTCTCAATATCATCAATTGGGTCAAACTCAAGGAGACGTTGGCCAACTGATTCAAACTTCCGTACGGTATGGGGTACCAAAGGGGATGAATACGGCTCTGCAGGTAGCTCTGTCGGCGGCGTCTGGTCCCGTACCCTCTCTTTGAGTCTCTCGAGGATTGGCTTTGGATTGAATGGGTGGATTCCTGTTTTTGAATGCCGAGAGGATTGTAGACTCCTTGAAGGCTTTGACGCGGATTGATTGGATCATAGCGAGGAACTCCAGCTTGGTGATTTTACTCGCACCACTGCGAATAGCAAAATCGACTGCCCGACTGTGGTAATGTTTATACGGCTGAAATACCACGACGTCAAGCGGTTGAAGGAGATGCGTAAGATGCGGAGGCAATGCAAAGAGCACAATATTATGGGCTTCAGCGTACTCGATAAGGTCAAGGGTATGGTGGGAGCCGTGGCCGTCAAGGAGCAATAGCCTCCAAGCACCTTTGCTCTTTGCATGCTTATCGAAATGTTGAATCCACGCTAGATTGAGCTGATCGTTCGTAAATCCCGTTTCCGTAACACCAATAAGGGTATCGCCATCTAGCTCCTTGATGCCGTACCACTGTTCGA